AAAGAAGAAAATCTTGCCATAACACCAAACTCCTAGATACAGGGAACAGATTGGTGGTTGCCAGAGGTGTGTGGGGGTGGGGGAGTGGAGGTGGTCAAAATGGATGAAGGTGGTCAAAAGATAAAAACTTTTAGTTATAAAATAAGCCCTAGGATGTAAAATACAGCATGGTGACTATAGTTAATAATACTATATTATATATTTGAAAGTTGCTGAGTGATCGTAAGGGTTTGAATTACAAGAAAAAAATTGTAACCGTGTGGTGACAGATGTTAACTATGGTGATCATTTTGCGATATATACAAATATCGAATTATTATGTGTACACTTGAAACTAATGTAATGTTATATGTCAATTATATTCCTATTTTTAAAAAGTATTTGCAATGAATTTGTCATAATTTGGGGAAATGCTTGTTATGTATTCATGAGTGGAAAAGATCTACAGAATTTTATATCACAGTTATTTTAAAAGTCTATACAATAGACATTGACGGGGGGGAGCATGCAAGTATGCCAGTATAATATGTCATAATTTGATGTGAGTACAATGGTTCTGCATGTCTTCCATACCTGCTCCTCTCTGAGTCAACTCTTGGAGCATGAAGACCTCATACAGAATACGAGTTGATTAATTTTTTACTCAACCACATATTATTATATATCGACATATTTAAGTTAAAGTGCCATTTGGGAACAGGTAGTGGTAAAAATGATGCCATGCCAGCAGTGAGCTAGGTGAGTACACTGGCTTTTCCTGTTCAGCTATGAAAGACCCTAAGATAAAAAACTGACTTTTCTATTGGAGAGAACCTCTAAACAGCGATCTAGAAATTAAATACCAGATCAAGAATTTTTTAGACTTCTGTAGTTCTAAAAACCTTGCTTCAGTGGTAAGGTTTTAAGGAATGATCTAAATCTCAGTCCTCAGCTTAGAGGAAGATGATGGATCAGCTGGACTTGAAGAGTACTATACCCGCACATTGGGAGTGATGGATTGCTATGGCAATGATTCTCAAATTGGGATAAAGGAAAGTGTGCCCCTCTTCTCAGGGGAATTTATTCTGCCACCTTCCCCATCAATTAAGAATTCCTCATCCATACTTATTCCATTTTCTCCCAAATAAGGAAACCAAAGCCAGAAACATTGAGTGACTTTTCTACAGTTGGCAGAGCTGGAATTTAAATCAGGATTTTCGAAGTTCAGTCTGTTTTTCAATCTTATTCCAGTAATTTAAAAGGTGGTGTAAAAGGAAATTTATATGGGCTTGTGGCCAATAGTCCATGTTCAGAACATACCCAGTTTTAAAAAATGAGCCAGCAGAGCAAGTTTCTGTGAACTCAACACCCCCACCCCCACCCCCAGAGTCCTGACACTAGTCATCTTGGCACAGGCTGCAGACATAAATAAAAGGAGCCACAGTGTCTAGTCTGCTTATCCTGCGTGTAAGTTTATGAGCTTGCTGCAGAAACAGATTTGTAAATTGGAGTTGATTGATAGCTGAAGGAATTTACTTTATACTGAAAGAAATTATTCTAATTTCTGAAGAAGGCTTTTGAGTTAAACTAATATATTAGCAGGTTAGCTCAGCTTTCACTGAGTTGAAAAAACATGACCCAAAAAACATCAATCACTTTAGCTTACTTCAAAGAGATTAGAGATTTGGAATCTAAATAATTTGTTGTTTTCTGACTTTGCATATCATCTTTAGGTGATATTTAAAGATCTGGTTATGAAAAATGACACAGCTGTACAGTCTGTTAGATGCTTCCTAAATAGCAGTAATCTAACTTTTGATGATCTAGCTTTATCCATGCTGAAGATATATGAGATTGCACTATTAACATCTAATTTCTTTTATTTTTTAATTTTTAATTTTTAAATTTATGTCTTTATTTCAGAGAGAGGAAGGGAGAGGGAGAGAGAGAGAGAGAAACATCAATGGTGAGAGAGTCATTGATTGACTGCCTCCTGCACGCCCCCAACTGAGGATCGAGCCCACAACCTGGGCATGTGCCCTGACTGGGAATCAAACCACAATCTCCTGGATCCTAGGTCGATGCTCAGTCACTGAGCCACGTCTGGCTGGGCTAATTTCTTGCTTTTAGAACAGAGATTGCCAGTTCTGAATTTGCATCATACCAGGTCCTCAACAATTATCTGTAGGCTTGTGGTAAAACCAGACAAACAGCTGAATTATTGAAGCTCATTTTAAAAACAAAAGATGCTGAGAGTAATGTTTTTAGAGTAATGGTTTTCAGGCTTCATTGTGCTTAACAATCATCTGAAGTGTATTAAATGTGTAAATTCTTGCCCTCTCCCCCCAAATTCTGAATCTGATTATTGGGAACCTCAATGTGGTGATCAGCAGCAGTCTGCACGTAACAAGCATTCCACCACATTTGGACATATGGTCCAAGAACTACACTTTGAGAAACACTGTTGTAGAAAATAAGGGAGTAAGAGCCATGACCAGGTGGCTTGTGGCAAGTTGAATTCCCAGTCGGGGCACATACAGGAGGCAGCCGATCAATGTTTCTCACATCGATGTTTCTCTCTGCCCCTCTCTCTCTCCCTCTCAAATCAATTAAAAAAAAATTGAGGAAGAAATGAAGCCATTAAAGGAAAAGTTTTAATTGTGGAGAAGTTGGGTGACTTCGGGCAGTTGATCTCAAATTGATCTGTTATTCCAAAACTGGACTAAGGTATTTAATTGCTAATAGTGAGCAGTGATTTTTTTATATCAATAAACAGAAAAAAATCTGAATTTGTATTTTAAGGTATTTTTTTTTATTAAACAGTTAGTGCCCACTACTACTTTCCTGCTATTAAAATGAACAGGTACCTAAGAAATACTAAGTTTAAAAATGGAGAAATATCTGGTCAAACTTAGTTTGACAACTTATTTTTTCTTGTGAACTCAGTGTTATACTTTTATAGTTCATCAATAAAATGTGTGTATTTCTCTTACTAAAATTGTTCCTAACAGTTCCTGACAGAATTAAATTTATTCATTTTGACATACAAAAAAGAGCATGGTTCCACAGAGGGCACCATGACTTCTAGACGCTCTTTAGCATGAACCGTTTTAGGAATAGACAAACTATTCTTCACTAAGGCCTGAGGTCATGAAATTCTTTATCAATGCATAGCCATTGCCTTGTTCATCTATTCAAACAATGTTTTCTTGTGCTTGATATGTTGAGCCACTAATGGCAAAGATGACCCTGGTTCTTACCTACGCTGAATTCTGGCCAAGTGTGAGATTAAGGTAGCCAGGTAGACAGGCAATTAAATACAGAGTAGTAAGTGATAGGTGAGGTTTCCTGTGCTAAGGAACTAATAGACTGTACAGTTAACCTTCATTTGGGAGGTTGAGCAGTTTCTTGGAGGAGGTGGCATCTAAGATGAAATATCGAGGCTTAGGAGGAATTATGCGTATTTTTGGTTTCTGTTTCACTTGTCATGATCATATATAATTGCTCTGTTGTCTTTGAAGAGGATAATCTCTGAATGTTATTTTTGTGAGCATTTCTGTTTTTTCTTTTAGTCTTCACTGACATATTTTCAGGTTTAAGTTTTTGAATATTTTTCAAAGCTATTTTATAATTGTCTGTTGAGAACTTGAAAACCCTATTCAGACCTTTGCATTAGCCATGGATAGACCCATTTCTCCTTATAGCCTGTCCTTAATCAGACATTTATATAATCAGTACTTAACCGAAATTATTCTGCACGATGAAGCAGAACACTCAATTGCCCTGCAGGATGATTGCTTTTAATGATTGCTAAAGGATTCTCTTTCTGTCTCAGTTAAAGAAACATTTTTTTATGACAACCTATAACGCTTTAACATAGTAAGTATCACAAGCCTTTTTTGACCCATTTACCTGATAGTGATATAATCACGTAATCAAGTTGGTTAAAGATAAATATCTCTTTTTCTGTATTAATGTGACCTATCCTAGATGTGTTTTTTCCTTTCTCTTCAAAGTAATCTAGTGTGATGGCTTTCAGACTTTCAAATTCAAATACTTTCTTTTCAATTTTCTTCTATTTCTTTGAAAGCAACATGCTAGAAGGAATCCACCAAAATGTGAAAGCTTTGTCACACTATCTTCAGTTCCTCTCCTCATTTTCCCTTTAACTATTTGTTATCAAAACTACTTTGATCAAGGTCACCAGTGACCTCCACGTTCCTAAATCCAGCGGTCAATTCTACTTCATTTGTGTTTTTTACCCTGTTATCGGCATTTAGTTAGTTCATCATTCCTGTATTTTTTTTTTAATCCTCACCTCACCTGAGGATATGTTTTTGTTGATTTTTAGAGAGAGGGGAAGGGGGAGAAAGAGAGAGCGAGTGAGAAACATCAGTCGGTTGCTTCCTGTATGCATCCCAATGAGGGGGGGTTGAACCCGAGACCCAGGGGTGTGCACTGACCAAGAATCAAACCTGCGACCTTTCAGGGGACAGGATGACACACCAACCAACGGAGCCACACCGACCAGGGCAGGAGAGGAGATTTTATACATTTTGTTAAAACTAGGGAAAGTTTGCCTTTTGTCCACCCCTAGCAGTTTCTATATTTATTGGTTGTATGACTTTTTTTTTTTCCAATTTGCATTTAAACTTTAGTTGAAGTAACCAGGTTAATTTTTTCAATAATCATAACCTAGTTAGATTTGTATCTCTTTTTCCTAACTTAGTAATATTAGTATTTCTCCCCATTTTTTTTATTATGAAAAATGCCAAACATAAGAGAGTTATGTTGCAGAATGGCACACATTCTGCATTTGTCTGATTGTTTCTTCATGATTAATATAAGAACTTTTAATCATTGTAGTCTTCATGATTTACGTCTGTTTGCTGAGAATAACTTGTCTACTTATGTCATGGCACTTAATATTACTAATATTAACTTTATTCCATTTCGTTCTGTTACTGAGTATGTTCTTAGTGGAGAGATCCTATAAGTAATGGCTGTCACAACAGGATCCTAATGTGAGAATATCTGTGTTCTCTCTCCATTCCTAACAAAGATTTCTCTATAGCCCTAAGTGAGTTATACAACTCTTCTGCTTGTGCTATATAACAGGCAGAATTTCCTATCTTATTTAAAGTTAAGCTGATTTCCTGACTGATGTTTATAATGCCCATAAAAGATGTAAAGCATAGCTAAAATGGTAATAATTAGAGAAATGATTGTGGTACTTTCAGTCCTTCCAAGCCTCCATTTTAACCTGTAAAATAGGTGAGTTCCTGTTTCCATTTTACAGAAAAGGAAACCAAGGATCAGAGGTGTTTAGTAATTTGTTCTGTATTATAAACATAGTAAGTGCCAGAGCCAGACTTTGAACTCAGGTGTTTGTAAATTTTCTAAGCTGAGCTTTATCATGAGAACTCTTCTGAATACTTCTGAATGTCACATATATTGAGGAAAATCTCTCCAACAAACATCAGTAGCTACTAATGAAGAACTTACACTATCTTCTTCTGACCAGAATCATTTAATATGTAGATATTATTTTTTAACTTAATTAATTTTCCCATTAGATTACATCTCCTGTCACTGATTCTGTTCTAGAATGTTGGCAAAGGATGAACTGATGACCATACTTCAGGAATGTTTCAGAGTTTTAAAGTCCTCTCCTGAAGAGCAGCTTGGCGGCACAGCAAAGAGGGTAGAGGAGCTCCTGGCCCAGTTTCGGAGCCTTGATGGTGAGAAGATAATATCTTGCCAGTTTTACTGACTGTGACAGTCATAACTACAATAACATGGAAAACCCCACGTTCTGATGTACTGAGGGATGGAAGGACAGAGTGGTTCAAGATCAATGAGTACACCAAGCCTCAGAGTGCCACATCTTGACAATCACAAACAGGCCAAGTGGTTCTCTTCCAGCTTTGGTTTAAACAATGAAAAGCATCAAATGGGCAGGAAAACAAAAACATTCTTTCTCCACATGGACAGTTTGGAGGACTTACCTTTAAAAGCGGGATGGGGGCAAAAAAAAATCAAGTTTGATGAGAGTAGCAGGGCATCATAATTAAGGACTCCTTTTAGATGTTTTTCTTAAGCATTCCATCAGGTCCTTTATAGATTTCAAAAACAGTGAATAAATCATTTGTAAGCCTGGAAAATTAATAGCTCTGAATTGCTTTCTCAGCAGTGAGGCTCATTGGTGTGATTACCAAAATATGCATGAGGTTTGCTTTTATTGGATTTACGAGAGCTTGAATCCTTCAGTGAAAATGAACTGAGGCAGCCTGGAATTTCTCTGTGTTGATGGGTTACCAGTTCCCTTTATTTTGATGGCCCCCACGTGGTCATTTTATTTGTCAAGTGCTGGAGGTGCCTGATTGTGTACAGGTAGCCATGTTCTGTTCTCTCACGCTCCAGGACTTCTTGTTCTCATGGGCACCACAGATTGATACTGATTATTCATTTTCATGGACTTTTCTCTTGCTCTGTTTCTAGGCACCAATATATGGTATTCTTTTGGTAAAACAAACAAAATAAGTGTGCACCTTTTACTTTCCCCTATTCAGGAAAAATTTTAATGGAGTTTGGGGGAAAGAGGCAGCTTCGTCTATAATGTGTAAGCACAAAGATTGGACATAGCATAGTGAAGACATTTTACTTGGAGTGCCCATATCAGTCCTTCTTGTGTTTAGCATAATCAAAGGAATACAGCTTAAATTTGTTTGTTTTTTAGAAGCCATTTATAACAGCACAAATATTTGGTGTTTTTTGCTGTTAGTTTTTTTTTAGGGAGGGTATTTGTATTTTGTTTTCACTGTGGTCACATTTTTAAAATTCAGTAGCTGGGTTTTTTCAACACCTCTCTGCAGCATAACTTATATAATATTTAATGACCTTTAGCTTCTGGAAGAAATAATTTATCTCATGGGCCCTTGACCCCCTGCCACATAAAAAAATAGCTGAAACTTTATTTCTCTTGGAGTAGTAGAAATGTTGGTTCTCTTGACTTGAATGGATTTATCCCAGTTGCTGTATATTGGTTTTGTATTAAAAACAGAAGTCAGAGAGGAGGAAGATGCTTCTGGGTCACAGTCCAGGGAGCTTCAGAAGACAGACCTGTATCATCTTCAGAAGGTCAGATCACTTTCTTTTCCTTCCAACAACATACTGTGATACTCCCTTTTTTCCGTATGTACTCTAGATTATCTCTGCATGGATGTTCTTATTTTCCTCTTAAAACCACAACCAGGAACAAAGCAGACTTTGTAACCCACTTACAAATTAAACATCTATTTACGCCACTGCCGTCCTCATTCTCTGTGTACACAGCCTGGAGTTTACTAGTGAACATAGGTGGAAACTGTTCCTGTAGCCCCAGAGAGAGAAAATTAACTAGCAATAAGGGAAAATGGGAACATCATTGCAAAAATAATTAGATTATTTATCTGATGTATTTATTTGTCTTTCTGTTGAGGCTACCTCATTAGTTTTAGATACTTTTCTTGATTTTTTAATGCATATTCAGTGTAGAGCAGAATTGAGCCACGGTATACCCAACATCATCTTTTTCAGATAGTTCTAACTTTAGAATCTTGGTTGTTGAAGTATTGAACCTTCTTTGTATAGCATGAGACACAGTTATGGTAAATATAGAGTAAAATTTCAATCTAAGTAAAACAAAACACATGGAATCTATCTTGTTAGTATGGTGACAAGGCAAGGCTTCTCTCCTCTTCTCCTCCCCCTC